ATATGAACAAAAAAGAGGTCCTGGAGATATGGCTCAAGTGGTAGATTGCTAGCTGAATAGGCAAGCCAAGAAAGTAGAAGGCCCTGAGTTCAAATCCCAGTACTGCCTCCCACAGAAATAAATGAACAGTTACTCCATCAATGTTTAGCATGCACTAAATAAAAAAGCATTACACTTTATTTGAAAGGTGTCCATGAGTGCTAGATATAGCACTTTAAAAATATTGAGAAAACTAAAATACCAGAATAAAAAACTTTTCCATGTATCTAGGGACAGAGTAAGCCAGCATGTCTTCGTATGCCAGCTTCCAATGTAGCTATACGATTAAACACAGCCTCAATGAAAACCACCTCGACTGAGTTGGCACGTGCACACAGGCCAATAGTCTGAAACGTTTGTTCTAAAATGTATGTGGAGGGGTGACATCGGTCAAGATGCCTCCTGGGAAATGGGCAGAGTGGCATTGGAATCCTTTGGTACAGCTACTGTGAGGTTTGAACTCAGGGTCAAGGTGCCATCCCTGAGCTCTTCTGCTCAAGGCTTGCTCTCTACCATTTTGAGCCCCAACAATACCTCCCATTTTCTGGGGGTTAATGGGAGATTGGAGTCCCACAGCCTTTTTTGCCTAGGCTGGTTTAGAACTGTGATCTTCAGATCTTAACCATTTGCAGCTGTGAGCCACCTCATACAATTGGAAAGATCATTAAAAAAAAACCCTAAATAAATTAATCACATGGAAACCAAATTTTAAATTTAAAAAGGAAAACTGACATGAAAATAAGTCATTTCTGCCCAACTAAGGATATAGTTACTAAACTAAAAAGACAGCCAACCAACTGGGAAAAGATCTTTTCCAGGAATACATCAGGGAATGGCCTAATAGCCAATAACATACAACGAGCTCAAGGCAATTAAGGAGAGACTACTCAGAAGAAGAGGTAAGAAGAGTAAAGAAGCACATGCGAAAATGCTCAGCTTCCCTGTCCTGAAAGAACATGCGAATCAAAACTATCCTCAGATGCCATCTCATGCCAGTTAGACTGGCCAACATTTTGAATTCTAACAACAACTAATGTTGGCAGGGATATGGGGGAAAGAAACCCTCCGGCACCACCAGTGGGAATGTAAACTAGTACAACCACTCTGGAGAGCAGTCTGGAGATTCCTCAAAAACTAAACATAGATCTTCCTTATGACCCAGCCATACCACTCCCAGTCACATACCCTGAGCATCATAAGCCAGGATATGACAAGGACCCCTGCACATCTATGCTCATCGCCATTTACAATAGATAAGAGTGGGAAACAGCCCAGATGCCCCACATAGATGCGTAGCTATGTGCAATGCAATTTTACCCAGCCGTTAGAAAGAATAAAATTATGTAACTAGCAAGGAAATGGATGGGACCACAACAAATCATGTTGAGTGAGGGAAGCCAAGATCAGAGAGACAAATGACACATGATCTCCATGGTATGCAGAAGTTAGATCGAAAACATCAGGAATATGTCAGTTTGCACAGCATTCTATATACTCCGGTACAGTGAGATCAAAAGAGTTGTAGGAGAGAATCACAAAGCCCCTATTCATATGAATATAAAATGATATGCATACTGAAATGAACCCTAAAGATATGGGAACAAAGGCCTTTTTTTTAAACGTGGCTTTTCTTTTTGTGATGGCTCTGTATTCTTTACCTTATGTATTCACGCACATCTATTGGATGGTAGGGAAAGGGTAGAGAGAACCAGAGCACAAATGATGAAAAAGTACAGTGGTGGAGTGCACTGGACACTATGAAAGTGAGCTGTGCAACTCAGGGGTGGACAGGGCAGGGAGGGAATGGGAGAGAACGAGGGAACAGAAGATGCTGTGTGAAAGGAAATGTACTTATTACCTGATGTAGGTAAGTGTAACCCGGCTGTATATCACCTCTCTAACAATAAAGTAAATTAGAAAAAAAATAAAGGGGAAAAACTGGAAGTGATTCTTCTAGGAGATCGGCAGCCTTCTTCCTCTGTCACTCAACCCCCCCAAGCCCAGACAGTCACAGATACCTAATTCTGCCATAGGCCCAACTCTACTGCATTTCTCCAACACCTTCACTGACACACCACACACACAGGAATCCCTGTGAAGTGGGCTGGTGAGAGATCCTCTTCTCGGAAGGGAAAGAAACAAATGAGATACTATACCGTCCCCCCATGGGAGGCTGGGGGGAGTAGGGCATGTAGCTGCGGCCTGTCTGCTCACCTGATTTGGTGTAGGTTACCGTGATGATTTCCTCGTCCTTCAGCACCAGCTTCTCGTGGGCTGCTTTTATGATTTCAGGGTTGTACCCCACGGCAGGGAAAGGAATGCCATGGTACCATAAATAGTCATGAGCCATGGAGGAGCCCTGTGTGCCTGGCTCTTGGTCATAGATCACTGGTACTGCCACCGGGGAGAAGGTGGCAGAGTCTGGGTTTTTCATTCTGGGTGGTGAAGGCCATCGTTAACGTTTTTCATTTCATTTGGAAACAAATTTGATGCTAAAAAAAAATGCAATGCGAATGTCATGGAGTATTTTTATTGGGCAACTGTGAACTCCTTCAAGGGCGATCTGTGCTCATCAGATTGTCAGTTCTTAGCAGGGAACCTGAACTACAAGAGGAAATAGAAGGAAGCAGGCTTGGGAGCAAGGTTATTTTTAATTTGGAAATTTACAAATAACTAATTTTGGAGATAGGTGTAGATATCTCAAAAATGGTCAAGAGTGAGGTCTGGACTTCTGGCTTACGGTCCTAGGTTCAATCTACTCATATCACACAAAAGCTATTGGCAAGAGCACTCAAGGCATTTTTCTTTTTTCTTTTTGTCGGAAATGGGGCTTGAACTCTGAGCCTAGGCACTATCCCTCAGGTCTTCAGCTCAAGGCTCACGTCTACCACTTGAGCCACAGTGCCACTTCTGGTTTTCTGGTGGTTTATTGGAGATAAGAGTCTGAGATTAGCTCCATGGGAACAGCTCCAAGGAAGTCCTGCCACTTCTCCCAGAGTATTTTCTCCAAGGATTTGTTCTGGGCTGTGATGAAGTGGTTCTTCATTTTCTGGCAATGCCTGGCGGCTGGAGAGAAATGCTGAGATCAGATGAGGCCCAGCGCACCAAGGACCCAGCCCCACCTGACTCCCCATCTTGGTACTTCCACAGCCACTGGGTCTCAGAGGTAAGAATTGCTGAGAAATGTGTGTGGGGGGGAGTGTGGGTGTGGGTGTGTGTGCGCGCGCACGTGTGCATGCACCAGTACTGAGCCTGAACATTGGGACTGAGCTTTTATGCTGAAGGCTACCATCAAATTAGAGGTAAGAGGCTCACATTCTTTTCCTGCCTGTCCTGGCTTTGAAGTTGATCCTTTAGATCTCAGTGTCCTGAGTAGCTGGTATTACCGGGGTGAGTTCTTAGCCTGCCAAGAACTTTACTAGAATCTCAGTGAATTCAATGGTGGATTTGGTATTGTTCAGGCCTCAAATCACTGAGGACTATCTTTTGAGAGAGAAGACAAAACTGAAGACAGAAAACCAAGGCTCTGGGATCAGGGATATGCATTAGGACAGGCAATGAAGAAACAGGAAAACGCAAAGAAATAAAAGTGGAACACACACACACACACACACACACACACACACATGTCGCGGAACGGGTTCTGTCGGGACGACGGAGGACACCTAAGGGAGGAACCTGGAATAGGATGGGGAGATGGCAAACAGACAACTCACACACAAGAGGAGTGGATGCTGAGTGCTGAGGGCTGAGTGCTGAGTGCGATTTAATGCAGAGGATAACAAACTTTTATAACAGAAGTCTCCATGAGAAAGGGCAAAAGGTTACACAATCTTGCTGCATGGCTTCATTTTTAGGTGGTCACCAGCTGATCGCCTGATAGGCACTTGTTTCCGGCTTATCTCTAAGAAATACAACGATTACGATGTTTGTCCCCAATTAACCATTACCTATCTTTACAGAGGCCTTAACTTTCCCAAATAGATCTTTCCTGTTTCTTCTTTAATAGTAAACCTCAAGGAGACCTGGATCTAGCAATTCTCTAGGTCTAGCAATTCTCTTAGTAAATAGCAGGAAATTCTTTCTCCTAAGTAATTATCTCAGCAATTGCCATACATTCTTTCTGTTCTAGCTGAGCCTACAGCTTCTTGTAAGTCCCTTACAAACAATCCCTTCTGCTGAAGTGACTTTGTGAAACCCCCAATACTTTTATATTTACTTATAACTTATCTCCTAGCCTCCATAAGAGGTGTTTCAGGGTAGCACTTAACTCTGGTGAGTTAGTCATATTTTTAAGACACTCATCAGATATTGGAGTCGTCAACACTCTTAAGAAAGAGCTTTGAATAAGGGAACGTTGACAATGAGCAAGTACAAAGAGCAGTAGAAGCAGTAAAAGATTAATAGGCACTCTTATGCAGTGAAGAAAGGCAGAAACACATCTTTTCCCAGGGGTTTTTCCAGCCTTTTCCCAGGAGTAGGCCTCTTAGAAGCCCTATTCTCCGAGGTAGACTTCGGTGAAGTCCCAAAACTTGGAGATAGGTTTCTGTAAAGCCCCATTCTCTGAGGTAGACTTCGGTGAAGTCCCAAAACTCAGAGATAGGTCTCGAAGCCCCTATCAAGGTCTGATAGATGGTTTCCCATGCTAAGCAGACTCTACTGGGGTCGGCGTGGCACACACACACACCACTGGGCCACTATGAAAATACCAAATCTAAGACACACAGGCCTAGCAGAAAGAGGATTTCACTGTAACCCTGAAACCTAAAATTTCATGAAGGGAAATCTCTGGATAATAGAGACATAGGTAATAATTTTCTGCCTAGGGCTATCAAGCCTCTGCCAATGAGAAATGGAACAAATAAATGAGTGTGCCTGCATAAAATTGAAAAAAAAAGTTTCTGCCCTCCAAAAACTCAAAGCAAACAACAACAAGAAGAAAGCAATATCACTTTGAGGAGTAATTTCACAATTCTTTTAGTTTGAGAATTGGCGTTGACATCATGATTGCAAAGGGGGGAGACTGTGCTTCTGACTCAAAGCCCTAAGACCAGTCTGCTAATATCACCCAGAACTCATTGCCCAGAGCATGCAACGCGGTTTTCTTCCAATGTCCTCCGTTGACACCAGGCTCTCTCTCCACTCTAGGATCTCAGCCATGACCCTGGTATTATGGATCCCCATAGCTTCTCAGGCTCCTGGTGGCAGAGAGAGATTCTCAGGCTTCCTTTCTTTGTCCTAGCCTGGCCAAGTTTGTGAAGCAACAAACACTTAAAGTAACATCAGTGGAATGATGTGTGTGTGTGTGTGTGTGTGTGTGTAAGTGTGTACACGAGTGCATACACATGCATGCTGAATCATTCAAGATAACAGTCTCACTGACTTTCCTGACTGGTTGGCTTTGACCCTGGGTCCTCATTTCTCAGCCTTCTGAGTAATGTAGGTAACCATTGGTGACTGGCTTTGAAAGATTTCCGAATAGCTGCGGTGCTATAAATGCAAGGGTGACACCATGGAGATTTGTATCAAGCAAGGAATCAAATGTACAGCGTGAACATTTTAACATCAGAATCAAGTGACAGCTCCATGCCCTGACCCCAAGAAGACACAAATCCTCTTCTCCATAGACATAGGGAGAAGTCTGGACTTAGTCCCATAGGAACAGCTCTGTAGGAAGTCCCGCCATCTTCTCCTGGAATATTTTCTCAAAGGCTTCAGCCTGGGCTACGGTGAAGTGGTTCTTCCAGTCCCCTGTTATGCCTGGAAGCCAGGGAGAAACGCAGCAATCAGAGGGGGCCAGCACACAGAGGGCCCAGCCTATGGCTCCCTCCCGGTCCCATCCCTGCTGTGCAACTGTGGAGGACCCTGCAGCTCAGAGAGGAGAATTGTCAAGAACTGTGTGTGTGTGTGTGTGTGTGTGTGTGTGTGTATACACTCATGCATGTGTGCCTGTGCCTGCATGAGTGCAATGTGTGTACACATGTGGGTGTGTAAGGGTGTGTGCCTACCCATGTGTGGCGTGCACATGAGTGTCAGTGTGTGGTGTTGTTGTGGTGTTCCCTTACATTTGTGTGTGTGCACACATGCCCACATTGCCCATGTATACAGGTGCAGGTGAGTGTTCCATTCCTGGGCCTGGGGGCTATCTCTGAGCTTTTTTCCTCAAGGCTGGTACTCTGACATTTGTGTCACAGCTCCACTTCTGGCTTTTTGCTGGTGAATTGCAGATAAGACTCTCATAGAATTTTCCTGCCTGTGGGGCTTTGGACCATGATCCTCAGATTCCAACTCCCTGAGTAGCTGGGATGACAGGCGTGAGCTATTGGCACCAGTCCCAGCAAGAACTTCACCAGAATATCAGTGAATTCAATGATGGGTTTGGTGTTGTCCAGCCTTAAAAACAATGAGGAAAATGCCTCCATAGAGAGAATGAAACAAGACAGAACCGGGGAGGGGGGGCGCGGGCAGGGACATGCTGGGAGTGTGGCTTAGTGGTAGATGCTTGCCTAGCATGCATAAAGCCCAGGGTTTGATTCCTCAGTACCACATACACAGAAAAAGCCGGAAGTGGCTGTGGCTCAAGTGGTAGAGTGCTAGCCTTGAGAAAAAGAAAAGGAGAAAAAGAAGCTGAGGGACAGTGCTCAGGCCATGAGTTCAAGCAAAAAAGAAAAAGAAAGAAAGAAAGAAAGAAAGAAAGAAAGAAAGAAAGAAAGAAAGAAAGAAAGAAAGAAAGAAAGAAAGAAAGAAAGAAAGAAAGAAAGAAAGAGAGAAAGAGAGAAAGAGAGAAAGAGAGAAAGAGAGAAAGAGAGAGAGAAAGAGAGAGAGAAAGAGAGAGAGAAAGAGAGAGAGAAAGAGAGAAAGAAAGAAAGAAAGAAAGAAAGAAAGAAAGAAAGAAAGAAAGAAAGAAAGAAAGAAAGAAAGAAAGAAAGAAAGAAAGAAAGAAGAAAGAAAAGAAGAAAGAAAGAAAGGAAGGAAGGAAGAAAGAGAAAAGAAAAAAAAAGAAAAACAAAAGAACACCAGGATTCCGAGATCAGGGAGATGCATTAGAACAGGCAATGGTCAAACAGGAAAACAGAAGTGCAAATGGAGCACAATAAAGCTAAACAAAAACACAGGCAACAGTGAATACGCCAAAATTAAGAAACACAGGCCTAGCAGAAACAGAGGATTTCAATGTAGTAATTGAATAAAAAAAGCTATTCTGATATGAAGAAATAAAAATGACTAATAAATACATAAAACCCACTGGGTCCTGGTGGCTTACACCTGTTATCCTGGCATGTCAAGAGGTTGAGATTGGAGGGTCAGGTTTGAAGGGAAGACTGTGAGACTCTATCTCCAAGGAACCATGCAAAAGCCAGAAATGGAGTATGGCTCAAGTGCTATAGCACCAGCCTTCAAAATTAAAAAAAAAAAAAATTAAACACTACAAAAGCCCTGATTTCAAGCCTTAGGACTAAAACACATTAAAAAAAAATAAACTATAAAGCCATACTCATGAAACAATAATGTGTCAAGAATTCCCTTCCTGATCTCTGACAGATGTTTAAACCACAGTGAGCGATTCCACACCTTTCCTGGTAATTAAGAATCCAGGAGAAACATAATCCCCTCTCAGCAGGCTGAAATTGGACATTGTGTTTTCCTTCATGGCCTGGAAGGAGCTGTTCTCCAAGACCAACTCCAGCTCTTCGGGGTTCAACTTCTTCCCCAGGAACTGACAGATCTTCTCCACAGTGCTCCTCGTGTCCTGCAAGAAGGAAAAGCAGGACAAGGAGAACACAGAGCGGCTCTCAGGAGGAGGGAGCTTTGGAGGGAGGACAAGAAGAGACAGACAGCCAAGCTCCAAGACAGACTCCTGTGTCAGAGGCTGAGCTGGGAGCAGGGATGTAGGGAGCCGTAGGTACAGCTCAACAGGAAAGGCCATCTGAATCCTTGTGCTTGCTCTAAGGGACATACAAAGATCTGGCTTACTTAAAAATCACTAGGTGTCCGGGATTGTTTTAGTATTTTTGTAGAGTCTGTTTTATATTTAACCAGTTTACCTTGTCATGTTTTTATTGCACTCTGTATTTACTAAGCCTAAAGATTCCTTGTTTTTCTGGACTATACTAACCTTATGCAACTTCTTGACATCTAACTGTATATATAGTAGGAAACTAAAACTCAAAGGTGCTGCAGTCTTGATCTGCAAACATCCCCACCCCATCCTTTGTCTTGCGTCTTTTTTTCTCATCCTCCCCCCTAAATCAGAATTCCCTTTGGGAAGGAGGACTGGAAGGATTTGATCCAAGCACAACCAGAGCACAGAGGCTGGAGATGTCCCAGACCTAGAGCAAGGCATTTGGACAGGGATCAAGTGATAATTTGACAGTTATCCACAGGAAGATCAATACACCAGGTACTACAGTGAACCACAGCTGATTTCTGAACAACACAGATTTTGTTAATGGCTGTGTGTGAGAGAGAGTTGTGTGTGTCTGTTGTATGGTTGAACTCAGTGTGTGCATACTATCTTGAGCCTTTGTGCTCAAGGCTAGCTCTACCACTTGAGCCACAGCTCCACTCTGGCTCTTTGGTGGTTCATTGGAAATAAGAGTCTCATGGACTTTGCTGCCCAGGCTGGCTTTGAACTGTAATCCACAGATCCCATCTTCCTGAGTAGCTGGTATTGTGTAGTCTGACCAGTGGAATGGGGTCTATGAAGGAGGAGAGATGTGTGTCAGTGTGAGGGGGCAGAGGGTGGGGTGCAGGGAAAATGGATCGTTACCTTCTTCAGCTCCTCGTAACTGAGCACCAGCACATTCTCCCTCTCCCTCATGGACATCCAGCCCTGGACATGTGCAAACCATGACCCGAACCGCACTGCAGGGTGGGTAACAAGAGACAAATAATCAACTCCTGGACGTCCAAATGTGGTCTTTGTTCTCTACACGTTTCCCCTTGTCTCTGTCCACTTCTCTCAGGTATAACTGGAAAAAACTTGTGCATATTTACTAATTAAAATATATTTAGCTGGGCACAGGTAACTTACATCTGTCATCTTAGCTACTCAGGAGGCTGAGATCTGAAGCTCTCTTTTAAGGCAGTCAAGGAAAGGAAGTGCTTGAGAAGCTTATACCCAATTAATCACTAAAAAGATGGACGTGGAGCTGAGGGTCACCAGCAATAGAGCCCTAGCCTTGAGTGAAAAAATAAGGGAAAGTGTCCAGGGCCAGAGTTCATGCCCCAGGACCAGCACACACGTGCTGGTTCACACACACCCACCCACCCACACATACACACACACACACACACACACACACTGTTTAGATCCCTTCACTTCACAAGCCACTCACCCCTTCCTTCAATGAACCACTCATAATACTGCTGCAGAGACTGCGGATTCTTCAAGTACGTTGCTCCAGCGGAGTAATAATAGCCAGACACAAGGACATCCTTCGGATTTCTGATGACGTAGATCACCTTAAAGGGAAAAAGGCAAAAACTAAAAAATCATTACCATCTTTCCCACATTCAAGGCCTTGATCTCTCCATATCCAAGTTCTATATGATAGGATCCATATCAAAGGATAAGCCATCCAACTGCTCATTGTCTTAATTAGAACACTAATTGCTTTTGTTGTTCATACCAGTCCTGAGGCTTGAACTCATGGACTGGGCACTGTCTCTGGGCTTCTTCTCTCAAAGCTGGCACTCTACCACTTGGAGCCATAGCTCCATTGCCAGGTTGGTGGTGGTGTCTTGGAGACAAGAGTTTTTCGGGCTTTTCTGCCTTGGTTGGATTTGAACTCCAATCCTCAGACATCCTCCTCCTGAGTAACAAGGATGACTGCTATTAGCCATTGTTGTCTGGCTTATTTATTCACATTTTCCTTTGTTCTTGGTCGATCATGGGGATTTAACTCTGGTCCTGGGCACTGTCCCTGAGCTTCTTTTGCTCACTCAACCACTTGGAGCCACAGCACCATTTCTGGCTTTCTTGTGGTTAATTGGAGTCTCATACAATTTCATACCTGAGGTGACTTCGAACTACAACCCTCAGATCTCAGCCTCCTAAGCAGCTAGCCAGGACTACAGGTGTGAGCCTTGGTGCACAAGTAACATATTCGCTTTATTTTTTCCAGTCGTGGGGTTTGAACTCTGGGCCTAGGTGTTGTCCTGCAGATCTTCAGCTCAAGGCTAGTGCTCTAGGACATGAGCTACAGTGCCATTTCCGGTTTTCTGGTGGTTTATTGGAGATAAGAGTTTCACGGACTTTCCTGCCTGGGCTGGCTTTGAACCCTGATCCTCAGATCTCAGCCTCCTGAGTAGCTAGGATGACAGTCATGAGCCACTGGTGCCTGGCACATATTCACTTTTGATGGAATGAAGCTCAAAGAACAGACAGTGAAGCAGTTGTGTATCAAGGAGATTTGTGAGTTCTGGTTGAGCTTAAATGGTGGTTTTGAAGATTCTGGCACCCAGGTCTTCTGTGAGGGCCCATCTACACTGGTCCGCACCTTGGGTTTGAGGCCTCTCAGTAGATGAGCACAACTTCAGGGCCATGGAAAACTGCTAAGGGCCAACACAGCTTGGCCTCATCTCCAGGTCTATATGTTTGAGAATTCAAGATTCCAGAGCATCAGTTGAGCCTGGAAAGGTGGCTCATACCTGTCAAGCTAGCTACTCAGGAGGCTGAGATCTGAGTATTTCAGTTCAAAGCTAAGCTAAGCAGGAGATTCTCCAAGACATTTAGGCTCCAAATAACCAACAAAAACCAAGAAGCTGAGCTCAAGTGGCAGAGCTCTAACTTTGAGCAGAAAAGCTCAGGAACAGTGCCCAGGCCCTGAGTTGAAGCCCCAGCACAGGCACACACACAAAAAAAAGCATTGATGTAGCAGTTATTGGGCACTGAGCCCTGACCTTGGCCTTGGAATTGAAGAAAGACTTGGGGAAGAGTTGAATGGGGAGGTGGGAGGTGATGAGGGGGGGACCCTCCTTCCTTTCTTTTATGGTTTGGAATCCAGCTTCAGTCTCGATCCATGGGGAGCGATCCCAGATAGGCACAGAGCGGATCCACTCGGGATCCCCCTTGCTGTGAATGAGACACAGGATCTCAATCACCCAGTTGGTTCCTGGAGACAGAAGGAAAATGAAGGTCACTCATTTCTCTCTGAATTGTATAAAGACCGTGACGGTAAAATATACCTAACACAAACCTTACCGATATAGACTTTGTCTGGCATACAATCTTTCATCATGTAATGTCCATATTCGTGTATGTGTGTTTGTGTGTGTGTATGTGTGCGCACATGTACATGCATATGTGCCACTCCTAGGGCTTGAACTCCTGCCCTGGCACTGCTCCTGGCTCCTGATTCTCAGTGCATCTTCCTTGCAGTGAATGCTCCATGCTGGCTCCGCCCCATCCCAGTGCCTGGTGCTCCTCCCCTCAAAGCGCCCTCCCCCCCATTACAGCCTGTTCTGCCAGTTCCCAACTACTCCCCACAATGAATATTCTTCCTATTGAACTTAGTGTACTCTGTACCTGACCAATGAAACGGAAAGCCTTCTGTACAACACCTTATTAATAACAATGAACATATAAGAAAAAGAAGAGGTGCTGGAGATATGGCTCAAGTAGTAGAGTGCCAGCTGAATAAGCAAGCTGAGCAAGTACAAGGCCCTGAGTTTAAATCCCAGTACTGCACCCACCACAAAAATAAAAAATTGAAAAGTGTTTGGCATATACTAAATGACAAATGTTACAATATATCTAAAAGATGGCCATGACATTGTGGCTCAAGTTTTAGGGTGCTAGCCTTGAGCAAAAGAAGCTTAGGGACAGTGTCCAGGCCCTGAGCTCAAGCCCCAGAACTGGGGGGACGGAGGGGAAAGATGTCAACGAGTGCTTGATGTAGAATTTTTTTTAATATTGAAAAGACAAAATGCCAGTATAAAAGGCTTTTCCCCGTATGCGTGGACTGAGAAAGACAGCATATCTCATATGCCAGCCTCCAATTTAGCTCCATTATTAAATACCACCCCAATTAAAAACACCTGGGCTGTAGTTGGCACGTGCACACATGCTGATAGTGTGAAACACTTGTCCCAAATGTATGTGGAGGAGATGGTATTGATCAAGATGCCTCATCTTGGTCAATGGGCAGCGTGGCACTGAAATCCGTTGATATACCTGCTGAATTGTCTTAGGCTTTTTTTTCTGTCCATCATGGGGCTTGAACTTGGGACCTGAGCACTGTCCCTGAGCTCTTTGGTCAAGGCTAGTGCTCTACCACTTTGAACCACAGCTCCATTTGATAATTGGAGAGAAGAGTCTCACAGCCTTTCTTGCCCAAGATGGCTTTGAACCAAGATCCTTAGTCTCGTGAGAAGGATTACAGACAGGAACCACCATCAGACTGTTAGAAAAATCATTTTTATAAGCCTAAATAAATTAATTACATTAAAACAAAGGATAAGGGGCTGGGAAGGTTGCTCTGTGGTAGTGCACTTGCCTTGCATGCATAGGCCCTGGGTTTGATTCCTCAGCACCACATAAGCAAAAAGAAAAAAAGCTGGAAGTGGCGCTGTGGCTCAAGTGGCAGAGTGCTAGCCTTGAGTTAAAGAGCTGAGGGACAGCACCCAGGCCCAGAGTTCAGGCCCCACGACCGGACCCAAAATAAATAAATAAATAAATAAAAATAAAACAAAGGATAATATTTAAAAGGAAAAAAAACTGGATGTGATTCTTCTATGAGCTCTGCAGAGTTCACCCTCCATCATTCACCCTTGGCCCTACAGACAGTCACAAATGCCTGAATATGCCATAGGCCCAACTCTACCACATTGCCATAGTACCTTCACCAGCCCACTATCTACATGGCAATCCCTGTGAAATGGGCTAGCGAGATCCCCGTTCATGAAAGGAAAGAAACAAATGAGCTACCACACCGTCCCCATGCAGGAGGCTGGAGAGAGGGAGGCACAGGCCTGGCCTTTCCCACAGAGCTGCAGTCCCATCTGCTCACCTGATTTGGGGTAGGTCACTGTGATGATGTCCTCATCCTTCACCACCAGCTCCTCGTGGGCTGCTTTTATGGATTCAGGGGTGTACACCTCGGAAGGAAAAGGAATGCCCTGGTACCACAAGTAGTCCTGAGCCATGGCAGAGTCCTGTGTGCCTGGTTATAGATCACAGACCACTTACTTCCTCTTGGATAGGTGGTGGTAGCCTCTGGGTTGTCATTCTGGGTGATAAAATTAATCATTAACTTGTTGTTTCATTGCAAAACTAAGTTGTTGGTAAAGGCATACACAGTGTGATCGTCACCAGGGGATTTTGAAATGTAAAATCATTCAGGGGCGGGATTTTCAGTTCACGGCAGGTAACCTGAACTAGATGAGGAAGAAGGAAGCAAGCTTGGGGACAAATTATTGTTTTTGTCTTAAATTGACAAATCTTTTCTTTTGGGACAGAGGGAGGCTGCACTTCTGGCCCAACGTCCTAAGTCCAATTCACTAACTTCACCCAAAACTCATTGCTAAGAACACTGGATGCATTTTTCTTGTGACTTCCTGTTTCCCCCAGGATCTCTCTCGGCTGTGGGATCCCAATCACGATCTCTGGTGTTTGGATCTCCGTGTCTCCTCAGGCTCCTGAGGACAGAGAGAGTTTCTCAGACTTCCTTTCTTTGTGCTGACCTTGCAGGTTTGAGCAATACCAAATACTTCTGTAACATCACTGGGATGGTGTGTGGTCTGTGCATGTACCTAAATGCACCTGTGAGTTTGTACTTTTATGTGTGTGTGTTCACACCACAGGAGTCCATTCCTGTGAGGGTCAGGAGCAAACAAATCTAGGTAGCATTACCCCCAGGCAACTGTGTGCATTGTGCCTGGTGTGGGCAGGCAGGGCAGTAGGGACCTCTGTCTGGAGGACAAAGGCTCCTGGTCTGACTGAGGGATGAGCACCAGGTGTTTATTCACTGCACAGCATTCAGTCAGGCCACAGACACCCGGTCACATGACTCTGAAGCCACACAATCTCACTCTGGTGTGTGTATATATATATATATATATATATATATATATATATATATATATATGTATGTATATTTATATATATATATATATATACATATATATATATATTTCCCCTTAGTTCTGGAGCTTGAACTCAGAGAAACGGCTGCGTAATCCTAAACAGATTGAGAGGTCAAAGTAGAATATTACTTTGGAGACAACTCAGACCCATGCTCTACTATTTTCAGGATATGTGGACATTTGAAGCACATGAGACAAGGCCACAGTGCAAAGCACAAACTGTGTGTGATTGCACTCACATACAAGTCCCAGAACTCTCAAAGTCCAGGAGGAGAAAAGTGCATGGTTGGGGTCAGGACAGGTGGCAAGCAAATCAATATTCAGTTGTCATGGACAATGTAGATTTATAAGATGTCAGAATACTGGCATTGAGTGAGCCATGATTGAAATAAACTAAACACTACTTATCCGCACCAGAGTGCTTGCTGGAGAAAGTTTACATCATTAAGGTTTATGGTATGTATATTTTACCACTATGAAATCATATATAATATTGTTATTCAGATAGAGTGACTTTTGTTTTTCTTTCTGCTCCAGGAACCCATTGGTTGATTGAGGTTCTCTCTCTGATTCACACCAAGGGTGATCCCAAGTGGATCCGATCTGTGACCTCATTTAATCGCTCCCCATGGGTTGAGACCACATGTGAATCCCAAATCATAAAAGACAGGAAGGAGGGTCCCCCCCTCATCACCTCCCACCTCCCCATCCAACTCTTCCCCAAGTCTTTCTTCACCTCCAAGGCCAAGGTCAGTGCTCAGTGCCCAATAACTGTTCCATCAAGGACTGTTCCTCTTAAAAATGCACATAGCCAGCAGATCTGGCATTCTCCCTCTGTAGTTCACAGAGGACTGAGACTCTCCTTTATGAGGCGAGGGTCCTCAGACCAAACCAGAGTCATGGCTGTGTAATCCCTGACAGATGAACTAACCAAAAGACTAACCAAACTGTATTTTAAGCGGATACCCAGGCCTCATGCGGTCAACCCAGCTAAACAGGAGGCTGAGATCTGAGGTTCAAGATCAGAAGTTAGCCTAGGCATGAAAGGCTAGGAGACGCTTATCTCCAATGTACCATCAAAAAAAAAGCTGGAAGTGGAACTATGGCTCAATTGGTAGAGCATCAGACTTGAGCACAAAAACTCAGGTCAACACCCAGGCCCTGAGTTCAAGCTCCAGGACTAGCAAGAGGAAATTTTTAAAAAGAGCCAAGTGAGATTGTGTTTTTTCAGTGTCGTGTGGCCTGGTGCCTGTGGCCTGAACGCTGGAAGAGTGAATAAACACCTTTGGTGTTCATGGCCAGATCAGACCAAGAGCCTTTGTCCTCCAGAGAGAGATCCCAGTTCCCTGGCCCAGCCCACACTCTTACTTACTAACTCTGTGCAATGCTACCTAGATGTGTTTGCTCCTGAATATCATAGAAATGGGTGCATAGGGGGTGAACTCTCTTCTGCTGCAATAGTTCATACTCCCTGACTCCAACTTGAATGGCTTTTTTGTTTCTGTTTTTATACCACTCCTGGGGCTTGAACTCAGGGCCTGGAGACTGTCCTTGAGCTTTTGTCCTGAAAGCTGTCACTCTGCCACTTTGAGCCACAGCTCCCCTTGTGGTTTTCAGGCAGTTAATTGGAAGTAAGAGTCTCATGGGCTGTTCTTCCTGGGCTTACTTGGAACAGTGCTCCTCAGATTTCAGCCTCCTGCGTAGTTGGGATTACAGGCGAGGGCCACCACCACTTAGCCCCTTCAATGATTTTTTACAGAACAACTCCTAAATCTATGGCCAGCAAATGATAACCAGCATCTGCTCTCTTGTGCTTTGTAGGCATTGTCCTTCCATTGTTTTATTCCTGGCAAGGCAATTTGTCTGGAGGAAATCTGAAATGTATTTGAAGAATGAATTCCCGACCAAAAGACCCACCGATACTTTGATGTTTGAGAGCAGTTTTAGAGACTTGATCTGAAACGTGCCACATGCAACATCATGCACGTGAGACATTATGGGAATGTGTTTTGTTTTCTGTTTGTTTAATTCTTTTCCTTCTCTCTTTAAGGTGATCTATGTCATCAGAAACCCTAAGGATGTCCTTATATCTGCTTATTATTTCTGGGGTTTTACAAATCTGGCTAAGAAACCAGAGTCACTGCAACAATATTTTGAATGGTTCTTGCAAGGACACGGTGAGTGGCTTGTGAAGGGGGCAATCAGTGCTGAGACCTCAGGGCAGATCAGGAATGGTAGAGACTTTTTTTTACCAGTCCTGGGGCTTGAACTCAGGGCCTGGGCATTGTCCCTGAGCTTCTTTGGCTCAAGGCTAGCACTCTCCCAATTAAGTGCCCCTTCTGCCTTTTTCTGTATCTGTGGTACTGAGGAATCAAACCCAGGGCTTCATGCATGCTGGGCAAGCACTCCACCACTGAGCCACCTTCCCAGTCCTGGTAGAGACTTTTTATACCATCCCCGCTGTTCCCCCTACAATGCCATACGGGTCATGGTTGATCACATCCGAGGTTGGATGTCCATAAGGGAAAAAGAGAACATGCTGGTCCTCAGTTATGAGCAGATGAAAAAGGTAACTATCGATTTTACATGCACCCCACCCCACCACCCTCCTCACCCCTTCTACCTCCTCCTCTCCCTAGAATCCCCGCTAGTCTCCACCCCACCATTCCTGTCACATTTCTGCATTGTGTTGTGTGTTATTCCTTCCTGCGTTCCACCCATCCTCCTTTCCTTTCTTTTTATTTCTGGTCCAAGGTGGATTCTTGAACTAAGTACCTGATGCTGTGCTCAACCCACTGAGCCATGCCTCCAATCCCCCACTGCACTCATCCTTTCTCCTGCCAGTTCCTTCTGTTGTTTCTCCCTTCTCCTGCTCCCTCCTCCTGAGACCCATTCCCTGTTGTCTCCCTTTCATACCTGTGGCCCTATTTTTCTCTCCTTAGGACCCGGAGAGCATGATAGAGAAGATCTGCCAGTTCCTGGGGAAGGCGCTGGAGCCAGGAGAGCTGGACTTGGTCCTGGAGAACAGTTCCTTCCAGGCAATGAAGGAGAACAAGATGTCCAATCTCAGCCATGTGCCCAAGGAGCTTATTCCCACCAGTATAAAACTCATCCGGAAAGGTATGGAAATGCCCCAGGGAAGGAGGTGCCAGAGGCTGGGAAACAGAAGTCAGGTGCTATAACCACAAAGTTGTGGCCTGGGCTGGGAAGTTGGCTCAGTGGTAGAGCGCTTGCCTTGCATGTCTGAGGCTCTGGGTTCAATTCCTCAGCACCACATAAGCAAAAAAGAAAAAACCCGGAAGTGGTGCTGTGGCTCAAGTGGTAGAGTGCTAGCCTTGAGCTAAAGACCTGAGGGACACTGCCCCAGACCAGACCCCCTCCCCCCAAAAAAACACAAAGTTGTGGCCTTGGGTCAGGCTGGGATCACTTCTGGCAGAAGAAGAAGAAGAAGGAGGAGGAGGAGGAGGAGAAGACAAAGCAGCAGCAGCAGCAGCTGTTGCTGTTCCTGGAAGTAGAACTGTGGCTCAAGTAGTAGACCATGAGCTTTGGGTAAAAGAAGCTCAGGGGCAGCACCCTGGCACAATGAATAAAATATTTCTCTACAGATTGATAAATAAGTCCCTAGCAGCAGAAAAAAATCCGCCCTCAGGAGTCTTTTTGTCCACCAGAGGGCGGCAGAGGGGATAGATAGTTTGCACCATGGCCAAAAGGACAGAAAAGAAAGACCCTGGAAGTTAGCAGCCCGCATTCTGTGGCAGAGACAAGTAGAGTTGATGCCACAGGTCCTCAGTGCCCAGGCCTCTGGGAATCTCAGTTTCTCCCTCCGTGTGGGTGCTCAGCTCCCCCAGAGGCTGCCATCCCGGCCTTGCCTCCCTCCGTGCTCCCCATGGTGACCCCATAAGGTGCAGAGAGCCGGGCGCCATGAGTGTTCATGGAGACGGTGACAGCAGTGCTGTGTTGGGGCTCCTGGTGCTGAACGCTGATTAGACCTCATCAGCAGTTCATAATGTGCTCTACACTATGACACAGATGCTGTGTTTTTATATTTGTACACAGCATCATCGTTGAGGGTTTGTTTTTTTTTTTTGTTACTTCAGAAAAGAGTGGTCCCAGACAATGCTTAAAAAGCATAAGTCAGAAATAAAGAGCCAGGCGCTGGTGCCTCATGCCTATCACCCTAGCTACTTAGGAGGCTGAGATCCGAGGATCACATTTCAAGGCTGGCCTGAGCTGGAAAGTTCATGAGAAACTTATCTCCAGTAAACTAGCCAAAAACCTGGAAATGGAGCTGAGGCTCAAGTACAGAAAACAACTCAGACACACAACACCTAGGCCCTGAATTCTAGTCTCTGTACTGGCTACCCCATCCGTGTGCACAGACACACACACACACACACACACACACACTTAACTTTATATTATAGAAGAACTCTATTGCATGCAGGCAGATATTGAAGGTACCAGAGTCCTCTGAGAACCCAGTATGAGATTCCTGACTCCCCACACCTGGGGCAGGAACAGCACCCATAGTGGCAGAGGGCAGAACTTCAAAGGAGAGCACTGCACATGGAGCATGTGGAGTCCATCTCCCAGGGGAGAGCTGTGGCTTCACCCCCAGGGAGGGCAGAGGGCAGAGGGGACACAAGGGGACAGCAACATCCTGCCCTGGATCAGTCTGAAGTCATTGTTTTTCCATGGCTTCAGGCATCATAGGAGACTGGAAGAACCACTTCACCCCAGCTCAGGCCCAAGCCTTCGAGGAAACATTCCGGGAGAAGATGGCGGGACTTCCTCCGGAGCTGTTCCCTTGGGACTACGTCCAGACTTATTTCTATGTTTGTAGAGACAAACTCTTGTAGCCCCCCCCTCACCTGATAGAGGTGATAGGATGGGGGTGGGGTCATAGCATAAATCTGTCACTCAAATCTGGAGGTCTAAAGTTTCATATTGAAGCCTTAATCCAATTACCACGGTGCCCATTAACTCTATTCCATCCAGGGCATACGAGGCTTTTTTCTTTAAAAAAAATAATAACCTTATTGGTATAATACAGGTGATGTACAGAGGGCTTGCAATGTCATGAATGAGGTAATGAGCATACTTCCCATCTGGTGTCTTCCCTGCCCTTGCTTTCTCCATCCATCCTCCACCCATGAGTTGCATAGTTCACTTCATCCATGTCCACTGAGCCCCACGGCTGCACTTGTTCACCCTTTTACCCTTGAGTTCTGGGGTCTCCCCCCACCTTCTCATAGATATACACATGAATATACCAGACATAGGTAAAGAAAACAGACTCATCAGCAAATAAAATTTTTTAATCTAAAAAAAGGTAAAAGATCTCGTTTCCATAACTTGGAGTTCATTTCCATAGATTTCTTGTTTTATCTAGACATAAAGAGCTTTGTAGGCATTGTGCTTCTCTCCTAAGACTAACCTCTTTTGGTCTCATTGTGTGTGACTATCTAGAATCCTCTATCTGTTATCATTGACCAGTGTATTTTAGAACTAATAGCTTCATAGGAGACAAAACCTGCTCCATTAGCGACTCTGAGCTTGGCTTCCCTCACTTAACATGATTTGCTCTAGTTCCATCCATTTCCCTGCAAATGACATAACTTCATGCTTTCTAAAGGCTGTGTAAAATTCCATTGTATATAGGTACCACATTTTGGGGATCCACTCATCTACTGTGGGGCACCTGGACTGTTTCTTTCTTGGCTATTGTGAATAGGGAGCATGGACGTGCAGCTGTCTTTATAACATCCAGGCTCGTGATGTTCTGGGTATGCCCAAGAGTGGTATGCCTGGGTCTTAGGTGAAAAAAAAAAATCTATATTTAGTTTTGGATGCTTTCATAGTCACATGATACATTTTAATGGGATGGCAACATTGGTCAAACATATTAGAAACCATAAAAAATTAAGAACCAAACTATACATCATACATTTACCTATATAAATATATTACATATACACTATATATAATATAGCATATATTATATATAATATAAATGTATTATATATTTTTATATATTATATATTTTTTACATGGGTAAAAAGTCATATAAAAAAGCAAAAGATACCAGGGACCCCAAAATGGTGCATACTACCAGGGAACCACACTCATTGTCTTCACCCAAACAGGGAGTGGGGTGTCCCAACACGCAGATCCCCCAAGACGCTGACAACAGCGGAAAACCCGACAACAGAGAACCGCAGGAACTGATAAGGAAGGAAGGAAAAGCCTCCTCCATTGCACACACACAGACAGAAGCCCGTGAAGCCCGGGCCCCGGCCCATGGCACTGTGGACTGCAGAACCCAGACACCAGAAACGCCACCGCGAGGAATCCCGGGCCTGCTGGCCAGGGAAGCCAAGGCATGCTTGAGCAGGTGCAGCCAGAAGGGGCCCTTCCCTCCCCCCTTACAGGATCTACCAATCAGGTGCGCCGGCGCCTCAGCCCCCATAGAGAAGCACGAATCAAATGGTGGCAGCGCGCACAGCACACCCTCCCCCCATTGGGAGGTGCTGGCCCCGGGAGGGAGCCGCTGAAACCCCGCCCTGTCTAGAACAGGGATCAGTGTGACATCTAGTCAGCGTTTTAGAACAGTCCTGTAACAGTCTCATTAGAACAGGGCAGCAAGCTAAACCGCAAAGAATATGCTGGCAATGCAGCGCTTTGGATCTCAGGGGACTTTCGGCTTTCTCATTCATTGGCTGTTGCTAGGGGAACTTATGGGATAAGGTACAAATGGGACGTCTGCCGTCATTACGGGGACCTAAGCTCATATGCGGGAAATAGGCCTTGTCTCAAATTGGAGTTTTTATGCACAAAATGGTGATTCTCTTGCTAGAGCAAATTCATTGCTCTGAGCCCACACATCAAGGAAACAGAAGCTGCTCAAGTAAATAAGCTCATAATGCAATTAAAACTACTAGAAAAGCAAAAAATCATTGCATCTAAAGTTACTAGATGGAGCGAGATAACCAAGATAAAAGAAATGAATGAGATAGAGATTTTTAAAACTATAAATAAAATTAATGGCACAAAAGCTGTTTGGGGGGAAAATTAATAAAACTGACAAAACTCTTGGAAGAGTAGAAAAAAGAAGAAAAGAGACCCAAATCAATAAAATAAAGGATGCCACAGGAAAAATTACAACAAATAGCTGAGACATCCAACTGATCATAAATATTTCCAGAATCTATAGTCACTTAAGAAGGACAACCTAGCAGAAATGGATGAATTTCTAGAGAAATACAAATTGCCCAAACTAAACCCAGAAGATATAAATGAATTAAATGAGCCAATAACATACAACGAGATAAAGGAAGCAATTAGAAGTCCTCCAACAAGGAAAAGCCCTGGCCGAGAGGGATTCACCATGTAATTTTATAAGACCTTTAAAGAGGAACTAATACCCATACTCCTCAAAGTCTTCCATGATATAGAAGCAGAGGGAGAAATCCCAAACTCATTCTATGAAGCCAATATCACACTCATCCCCAAACCAGGCAAAGATCCAAGAAAAAAAAAGAGAACTACACACCAATCTCTCTGATGAACACAGATGCAAAGCTCCTCAATAAAATATTGGCAAACAGAATCCAGAAACAAATTTTAAAAATAATACACTTCATTCCATAGGTGCAAGGCTGGTTTAACATGTATAAAGCAATAAATGTAATTCACCATATTGATAGAGCCAAGGTCCAGAACCACATAGTTATCTCCACTGATGCAGAAAAAGCTTTTGACAAAATACAACATCTATTCATGTTAAAAGCTCTGGGGAGAATAGTAATAGAAGGGACATTTTTTGGTCGGTCGTGGGTCTTGAACTCTGGGCCTGGGTGCTGTCCCTCAGCTCTTCAGCTCAAGGCTAGTGATCTACCGCTTGAGCTACACCACCACTTCCGGTTTTCTGGCGGTTTATTGGACATAAGAGTTTCACAGACTTCCCTGCCTGGGCTGCCTTTGAACCTCAATCCTCAGATCTCAGCCTCCTGAGTAGCTAGAATTACAGTTGTGAGCCACTGGTGCCCAACTGTGATTTTAATTTTCTTTTGCTGTCCGTTTCAGTTTCTCACTTGAATTTGGAATTGCTGTGTTTCTAATCAAGCAGAAGTTCTGGGTCATTCCCCATGTTTGTAATTTTGTCATTTCTCCATGCTCTGTCAGGGCTCCATGGCCTGAGTTGGGTATGCAGGGTGGGAGTACCCCACATCTGTGCTCTATGTAACTCATCATCTGGTGCCTCAGGCCCTGTGGGTTTAGCTTTATAACCAGTAGAAGTGCTTCACGAACTGTTTCTCCCCTAATCCAACATGTCTTACCAATTGGAACTATAGCCCAGCGCTGGTGGCTCACGCCTCTAATCTGAGCTATTCAGGAGCTGAAAACTGAGAATCACAGTTGGAAGCCAACCCAGGCAGCAAAGTCCAGAAGATTTTCATCTCAACTTAACCATCACAATCAGGAAGTGGAGGTGTGGCCCAAGTGATAAAGCACCAGCCTTGAGCACAAAAATTCAGAGACAGTGCACAGGCCCTGACTCCAAGCCCAGAAGTGGCACTAAAAAAAAAAAAATCAGTTGGACTATGATCTGCAAAGTGCTGTGTATTTTTGCCAAAATCAGACATGCATTAGTATTTCCCTGTGTCTTGCAGTGTTTTTAAGTAGAATAAAGCACACCAAGGCCTCTGCAGACTGACCTGCTGGGAGCCATGGGCAGGGATGGGAGGTGCCTCGTGTGCGTGTGTGTCACAGCCCAGACCTTGCACTTGGACTTGTGCTCCATTGTACAAATGATGGCTTTGGGCCAACTTGGCATGGAACGCACTTAGTTTGGGTTCTGTGAGGGCCAGTGGAGCTCTTTGTCCCAGTCAGAGGCATTGGTGTGGCCTTTGGTGACCTGCCTCACATGGGGCAAAGGTTGAAGGGCAGCCTTAAGAAGGAAGTAACTCCAAAACAACACCCAGGCACTGAGTTCGAGCCCCTGTACTGGCACTCTCCTCCCTCACCTGCTCCCACACACACATGCACATGCACACACAGTGAACTCTCTATTATATAAGAACCTTATCACATGCACGCGAACACAGAGGGGACCAGAGACCTCTGAGAGCCCAGCCTTAGCTTCCGGATTCCTGCACACAGCAAGAAGGAACGACAAGGACAGAACTTCCCAGGGGAGCACTGGAATAGAGCCTGTTCACTGTGGAGTCCATCTCCCAGGGGAAATCTGTGGCTTCACCTCCCGCCCAGGGTGGGCAGACAGTGAAGGGGACACGAGGGGACAGCACCTTCCTGCCCTGGGACAGTCTGATGTCAGTGTTTCTCCATGGCCTCTAGGCATCATGGGGGACTGGAAGAACGACTTTATCCAGCCCAGGCCCAAGCCTTGGAAGAAACATTCCAGGACAAGATGGCGGGACTTCCTGTTCCCATGGGATGAAGTCCAGACTAACCTTGTAATAGGGCTTGTCAAACCTCACTGTCTTAAGAGTTTACTCTTAGCTCGCATAACTCTCTTTTGTTTTGGTGACTCCATCTTAGAGGACTGCACCCCACTCGTGAGACTAGTTCCTTCTAGTTTGACACTTAAAGATATATGTAGCCATTGTTCCACTTCTGTTTCTAGGTAACAATTGTCGTAATGAGTTAGAAGAAGGTTGTGGTAACAGGTCATGCTGCCCTCGCTCATGCTTGTTTACAGCGTTCTTTTAGCTTCTATAACTTAATATTTGGCATGTACCTGCAGGAAAACAATATCAGGGACTTTCCACCCTGAGTGAATAAGGGAGAGGGAGGTCTGCTTTAAAAAAAAAAAAAAAAAAAAAAGGCCATGAGGCCTTTTGGGGCACCCAAAGCCCCAGTGCAGTCGCGGCTGGTAATGAAGACTTTCTATTGGCTTTACTGTGTCTCCTGGTGGTCTTCCCCACCACAATCTCTATGTCTGTAGAGATGAATCCTTGTGCTCCCATCTTATAGAGTGGCAGGACTGGTGGGGTGGGGGCGGGGAGGGAGGGAGCATAGCATATCTGTGTCATGCAAATCTGGAGGTCCGAATTTTCACATTGCATCTTTGATCCAATCACCATGGCACCTATGAACGCTCTTCTTTCCAGGGCATCCTGGCTTTTTAAAATAATTATTTAAAGCCGGGTACCAGTGGCTCATGCCTGTAATCCCAGCTACTCAGGAGACTGAGATCTGAGGATCATGGTTCAAAGCCAGCTCAGGCAAGAAAACCTGTGAGACTCTTACCTCCAAGAACCCACCAGAAAACCGGAAGTG